TAAAAAAAAATTTTAACTGCAGATGCCCCTCCCAAATGTGATCCTGTGTACCAAATAACAGTCTTGTATCTTATTGCGGAGCTTAGTTATGGCAAGTTATTTGTTTTTGATTAATGGCGTTTTGTGGGCGTGGCAGTGGTCCGATTACGCCCATCTGCAATACCAACCGTCTCACGGTACCATGAAACATGTCTACCAAGTTTCATAAAGATATCTCAATTTTTACTCAAGTTAGAGCTTGCACGGACGGACGGACAGACGGACGGACGGACAGACGGACGGACGGACAGACGGACGGACGGACAAACAGTCACCCGGATTTCAACTCGTCTCTTCATCCTGATCATTTATATATATATAACCCTATATCTAACTCGATTAATTTTAGGGGATACAAACAACCGTTAGGTGAACAAAACTATTATACTCTGTAGCAACAGGTTGCGAGAGTATAAAAATGTTGCGAAATAATTTAGCACTCATTATTCGAAGAACTCGTGAATAAACTAAAAACAAATTTGGTATCTTCTTGACATACTATATTGAAGATATATTACTTGGACTTAATATTATTGCTATATTTTAGTTTGTGTCAGCTAAAATTATATTAAAAACATCTTCAAATGAGATACATATATGTATGTAAAGAAGAGACTAAATTAAATTCAACCAGAGGATCGGAATTCATTATATTAGGGATGTGAGGTTTGGACTAAGATCTAGACCAATTCCATTGTTGTAGTTGTTGAAGCAGAATTCTGCCGAGTTAACAGTCCTTGGCCGGTAATTGATCCGGGTCCGTTCCGGTTACATAGACCCGACTGTCGTAGGAACGGTTCCAAATCCATTCTAATTCAGCGCTAAGCATATAATTTTTAAGAAAACTTGTCCATTTAAATATTACATTTTCACCAACCTGAACGGTTTAAAGTCAGGTGGAAAGACGGAAATCATTACTTTGAAAGGGACAGGTTGATTGCATTTATTTGCGATATACATTATTTTTAAGAAAAACTGTCCATTTAATTTCATTAAATTATCAAATTGAGGAAAAAAATTATACCATAAGTAGTACATGTGAGCGGGGAAAATCAAAGACCAGAAAATTCCTCCAAACCGTATATTAAAAAATGTTGAATTAAACCTCCATTATTAAATGATATCGGGATTAAATTACAATCAAATTTGGTATCTTCTTGACTTATATTAAAGGCCATAAACTTAGTCTCAGTTTTATTGCTTGAAGTGAGATATACATAAGTATGAATGTGATATTAACTCCACCAAAGTGGCTAAATTTTATATTATAAGCTTAGGTAGCAAACGTCAACCAGAGAATCGGAATTCATTATATGAAGGTGTGAGGTTTAGACTTAGTATATACTAATTTCATTCTAATTCAGCGTCAAACCACACAATTTTTAAGAAATATTTTCCACTTAATTTCGTTAAAATATCACGTTGATCAACCGGAACGGTGTAAAGTCAGGTGGAAAGACGGAAGTCATATATATATAGTGGGGATAGAGAAATATATTAATATTGACATTGCTCAGCTATACTCGAGAACATATTTTGAAGCAATTTTATATATATAAAAAAAATATGAATACTCACTGACCGACATATTCGGCATAAAACTGGTTAGAATATCGAAAAGCATTATAAGTAGTATATGGAATTTGAGGGCAGTATTAACCCGATTTTATTAATTTTTTCCAATACCACATACTACTAACATGCCAAGTACTAATAAAATGCTGCCTGGGTTTCATTAAGGTACCTCACATACCATCTCCAATCATATGGAGTAAAGTCAGCCGGATGTTCGAAAATCCTGATATTAGGTATATGGGAGCTATTGACACTATTCAACCCATTTTTGGCATTCAGACATACTATTATCAGGATAGGATTTTCTCCGAATTTCTATAATATATCTTACAGATGAACGTTCGAATTGAGACTGGGTTCCACATATTAGGTACCTAAGAGCTTGAATAGTTTTGGTTCGGTTTGGAAAATTGTTGGTCATAAGCTGGAATACTTCAAGAGCATTATTCATGCAAAGTTTTATCCCGTTAATTTCATTTGTGCTTGCTTTGAATACTGGAAAGTGAAAGAATCGGATGGAAATTAAAACTGTGTTATATGGGAAGTAGGCGTGGTTGTAGTCCGATTACACTCATTTTCGTACTGTGATATAATATAATCACAACTTTCGTTGTTGATTTACGTGAGTACCTGCCGGCGACGGCCTTACCTCACGGTGCTCCAAAGCACAACGTATCAATACAATGCGTTGATAAGCGCCCCAAATAATACGAGCTATTTGCAAGTATTAATTTGGTTACCAGTGGCAGTGTGTCTGGGCACACACTACCATCTTGGTAAGATTCGAGGCCGACCTAAAACCTCTTCCGTTTTCGGGTACGGAACCCAGTTGCTTTTTGCAACTTCTTTTTAGAACTGAAAAAACAGTTAGGCTGAATTTTCAGTTCTTCCTGCATTTAGGTTTCAACCATAGCCACCACGAATCTCCCCAAAGGGGTCATAGCCCAATGAGCAGATTGGACCGAAGACCAAGGGCTTTCTGCTCCCCGTAGTACCAGAAAGTCTCCGGTAAGACTGTGTAGCCGAAACTACTGCCAGTTGAGCTACCCATTACTCAATGACTGGTGACATTTTTCGCTTGAACTTCAAATGTCTTTTTATTTGATTTTCCATTTAAAGTCTATAATATCATTTCAAGCTGAGTATTATAGCACTATTTCTGACATACTATGCTGATATTACTGAGCAAGGTACATAATAACAGTCATAGTGCATATTGGCTTTTAGTCGCCTCTTACGACAGACATGCATTACCGCGGGTAAATTCTTACCCCTACCGCAGGGGGAATAATATAATCACAATAATGTTACCTACGGCTCCTATAAAGTACTCTTGTATCATCCTGGGTGTTAAATTAAATGATGCATTTAGTTATTGATTTATCGCGCTTTAGCTAGTTTTTAACAAAACCGTTATATGGGGCACTCCCCGGGGTTATCACTCGATTTCACCTATTTTCACATTATCGGTGGGATGCTGAAAACATTTGCCTTGAGCGAATTTGGTTATTATAGCTTTATTGGTTTATGAGATATGTATATTAAACCTATTAGAGGGCGGGGTCACACCCACTTTTTTAATTTTTTAAACTGCAGATGCTCCTCGCGATTCGTCATACCAAATAACAGTCTTGTATCTCATTGTAGAGCTTAGATATACCTATTTATTGGTTTAGATTAAAGCCGTTTTGTGGGCGTGGCAATGGTCTAATTACGCCCATCTAAAAATCGTCCTTCTCTATTTTTGCCAAGTAGCACGTGTACCAATTTTCATTACGATATCTAAATTTTTACTTAAGTTACAGCTTGCACAGACGACCGGACGGTCCGACAGTCGCCCGAATTTCAACTCGTCTCGTCATCGTGATTATTTATATATAAATAACGCTATATCTAACTCGAATAGTTTTAGGTGGTAGAAACAACCGCTAGGTGAACAAAACTATTATACTCTGTAGCAACATGTTGCAAGAATGGAATGGAACTTTTGAACAACGACGCAAAACAAACAGCTGATTTGATAATTCAAGCTTGTCAGACTGATACTTCGTTACTCGGTAGAACGAGAATCTGTTAATTTTACAAAAACAAAATGCACGTTAAATAACGTCTAACGAATTTACAGATCTGGTGTGAATACCCTTAATAAATTTCAAATTCAGAATAGTTCTGGGGAAAAAATATCATGGAACTAATCGCAGATAAAGGCTGAATAGAGCCAGCTCCAGGTCACAATAAAAGAAGGTGTATGGCGTGGGAGGCGACTCACCAGCGGAACTTACAACATCAATAAAGACGGCTCAAAACTGGTCAAAGGAGTGGGAGCCGGAATCTATTGCTTAGAACTGGGTCTTAGGTGACCCTTTAAGCTTGCAGAATACTGCAGAATCGTCCAGGCGGAAGTCTTTGCAGTCAGGAAAGCGGCAGAGATAGCTAACAAAGCAGGTGGCAACATAAAAAAGATAAAAATATACGTCGATAGCCAGGCGGCAATCAAGGCAATAATCTCACATCGCATTACAACAGAGAATGTCCCTAGAAGCAGGGAGGCAGTAGATGTAGCGGCTGTCGGAAAGCGGCTGCATACTCTAATATACTGGGTTCCAGTCCACAAAGGGCTTCCGGGAAACGAAATAGCTGATGAGATTGCTAAAAGTGCTATCCGTCTTGCTACCGAATAAGTGCAGGAAATACGGAAGTCCAGCAGCAAACTTAGATAGCAAGTTGTTCTTAAAGTTCGAAAAAAGCGTTGACGTCCTGTATGACGAATACTTCACCACAAATTAAACATCACCTCCATCTGGCATTACTAAGGACCAGTAGTTCTATGTATGACGTGACAGCCGGTCAGTATAACCTAAACTAACCTAATGGCAAATAAAGAAGGAAATAAAATCATCCAAGCTTGCAGGCGCGAAAATTATAGGCCCAAAACAAAACTGTCAATAGCTATGGGCAAATACCCTAGCATTTTGCAAGCAGAAGTATTCATCATCACTTTATGCGCTGAAGTCATACTCAAGAGAATGACCATTGATCAACATATAATAATTTGCAGTGACAGCCAAGCTGCGCTGATGGCAATATCATAATGTTCGATCAAATAGCATATGGTATGGGAATATGTCAGGAATCTAATTGCAGTAGTCGACCGAAATAAAGTTAGCCTGTTTTGGGTTCCAAAAAGCTTTGTCCCGCCGATGGGACCAGAGCCCTTTTTATCAGTAGATCCGCATTCGATAAAAGAGGAACTAAGAATTGAGGAAAAGAAAATAGTTATATTGTATTAAAACTTACTTGTATATTTAAAAATAAAATGTGTAACCAATAACAAGGATTACATTATCAATATTTTAAAAATTTGTGTTTATTTTATCTTAAAATTATTCACATAAAACATTATTTAATAACTATTATTTATTCTATATGTTACATCTTTGGTTACGAAGTATAGAAGCTGAAAGGCCCCTTAACTGAGTTACCACCGCTTTAGTGCCAAAACAGCCTTATCTGCTATATATATTTTTAGTCAATTATATATGTATATTTAGTTTCAAGTATAGACACGAAGTATGTTATGTCTTAGAAAAACTTATGTAATATTCTTTGTATTCCTTCAGTTCTCTATTTTGATTTCAACATCAAAATAAAAAGTATCTTAAAAACTAGAAAGAAATATTTTTAAATGTGGATGTAATTGTACATAGGTATATAATTTATATAAATAAAACTTATGATGAACATGGTTTCTTTCTATAGAATTGTTAAGAAAGTCAAGCCCATGCGGTAACTTGTAAAATATTCCATCACAGTAAGCTTCAATCAAACGCATGTATTCATACTCTTTTAATCAGAAAGGCGCTATTTGCCAACATAATAGCGCAGTAAATTAGCTCAAAATTTGAAATCGTTAGATTACTTGTCGATAAATATACATATGTTATATACACACATTATGTGATATAAACTTGAGTATAAATTTGAGTAAATAGAAGAGCTTAACTTCGGATCGGCATTAACATTACACCCTTGGCAAGCCAACGTAAAAGTTTTCAGCCATGGAGATTTAATTCCTAGCTTTTCTTAACTTTTTGGTCTAGATATGAAATTATACTACTTTGACTACTGTCGTCCTCAACTGCATCAATAGATGCTTCTATAAGAGGTTTAGCTATCACGTTGTATGACGAAAAGCTTGTTGATTTCGATTGAGATGAAGGTGCCGTAATCGGCATTGATGCTATCTCCGCAGCAGTATCCATATGTTTTAAATTGTTGCTTCCATCTATGCTTGTAGAAATGGTGTGATTATGTTTAATAGCTTCATATAGTTCATCAATTGATGGATCATTTTCACTCATTCGGTGTTCCAAGGTATAATCACTTTTCGGGTTTTCATCTTCAAAGTCATTTAGCGGATCTTCTGTGTCGCTAGTGTTTGATGACTGATAGGGAAACTCTTCGGTTAATGTAATGTTTAAGTCGTTGTCAGGCTGTGGTTCATATAAGCCATGACTTCGTATGCTAATTTCAGAATTTTGGTAATTCAAATCACTTTCATTTGTCGGACTAATCGAATGAACGGTTTTTGCATGTGGTAAGCTGAAGACATTATTTTCGCTGGCAGATTCATATTTATCGGCAAACTCGGCTTGTTTTAGTTTACGGCATTTAGGAGTCTTTTGGTTGTCACTAACCAAAAATGGTACACTTAAGGAACTGCCATTCCAGGATCCGACTCTACCATTCTCTAAACTAAAAAGCGATGAATGATTTGAATGTTCGTTTTTCAAAAATCTATTGGAAGAATCAACGGAATCATGTAGATTGTTAAGTGACTTGGAATGTATTGGGTTGTGTCGAATTAAAATACCCGCCGTAGAGGATTCGTCAATATTAACTTGGTTCGTAATGTGTAACGCGTTTGATATATAAATTTCGTCTGGCTTTAAATCAAGTGTTTCTGAATGTTTACTTATTTCATAATTTGTAACACTTGGTAAACCGACACTATTCATTGCATCAACATCTTCATTTTCCATTAATGGTGATGGAGCCTTTAATGGGCTAGAATGCTTAAGCAATCCCGGTTTTCCTGGAAAAGAAACTGCCGACGCATTTTGATATAACGGAACTTTTTGTTCATCCAAAGAGTCATCTTCATTTTCAACTTCTTCTTCCCGCTCACTTAGAGTCTCAACACAACTGCGTTTATTAGATCGATTGGAGTTCCTAACCTTTATGATTTCGTGTTTCGGTTCTTTTGTCTCAGGTATATTAGTATAGATGTTTGCAACAAAATCAGATGCACAGGGGCGATTTTGTACAGAACAATCGGAATTCATTCTAGACATACCCAATCCATTTCGATAATTCTCTATCGGTGTATAGTGTGGCGACTTAGTGCCATCATTTGTATAGACATTCGGTTTATAACAGATGTTTGTATTATTCACTTTGCTACCACCTCTTAAGAGGGTAATAGCATTGTGTCGTTTCGAATAGATGTGAGCATTTTCACTTCCTGTTAAAGATGAGATGTCACTAACATTGTCCAAATATTCAACGCGCTCTACTTGCCGTTGAAGTTCAAAATTATTGCGTTTCGCTAAGCGCTTTTGTTTTTTAAAAAACTTTCTCGCTACTATTATTTGATTGGGATTATAAAATATTTCAGCGCTTGGTATTTCGCTAGTGATGGGGACAGTGGTTAGACTGTTTACCGCCATATGGTGATTGTTGGTGATAGATGTTTGATTTACGTTTGATGAGACTGTGCCGAGTAAAGGACAATCGAGATTTTGTAAAATGTGTTCGTTTTTATGTGAGTTGCTTTTCATACTGCGGACACTGCTACTGCGATGTCTTGAGCATTGGCTATTTGTTTGGGAACCGGACATACTTACATCATAAACTGCTGACGTTTTGTTTGCTGGTATAGCGGAAGGCACATTTGCATCATAGTAATTCTGTTGATAGCTTTTACAATTGGCATTCGTTAAACAAAATCTTTGTCCCCAAGCCCTTCTTGTATCATTTCTAGACAATGTATAGAATAGAATTAAAAATAGTCCCAGCAAACAGGAAGATACCGCAAACATCATACTATACATTCCATTAGGCTTTAAATTTTCTAAACTTTGGTGAACAAACATTGCTGCTGATATCCAGGATACAATGAATAGGATCAGAAATAGTAAATGAGCTCGCAAATGTGTTATATTCGATCTTTCGAAGTCATCGACTATACTGCTCACTGGATTACTAAGAGTGAGGCTTCTGTACTGATCGACCCCTGTGGAATTATGATTAACCCGTGACACAGGATTTTGCTTTAAGTCCAGCCAGTCCAAATCAATATTTTCGGTAGCCATTGTATTATCAGCAAAGTGTTTTTTTGACAACACATTTACAGCTCTCTGAGACATATGGCAATAAATACATAGCATTAGTGTAGCAAGAAAAATCAAGAGTATTATTGCCGGAACAAATAATGCGTTCAATGACGATGGATTATGTAGAAAACAAAATGAGTAGGAAGCATATTCGTTGACATTAACTGCGCTCGATATACCACAAATTATCATTCCAATTCCCCAGCCGACTAAGTAAATACTAAGTATAGGTTTTTTAAATTTTACTTCCTTGGGCACGTCAGGTTCAGAGGCTACTCGATAAGTTTTGGACAAACCTTTGTACAAATTGCTTAAACATACGCACAGCCATAGCAAAACAGATAGAGAAAAGTAATGTAATAAAATTCCAACTATCCGGCAAATATGATGATATTCTGTTTGGTATATTCCAAGTACAAACACGGCTGATAAAGATGAAACTGACAGCCATATATTCACCAATGAATGCCTTTGTTGACGATTCATTCGTATTGCTTTGCGAAAAATCACAAAAGTAGTTATATTAATCCACGAACAAAAGAAAACAACTACGCTTCCTATATATACGCTTACAGGAGCGAATCTAAAAGTAGCTCCTGACCCTTCAATTGCATAGTCATTAAGGTATTCGCGGCGTTGCAGAATGCCGTAGTAACCCAACCGACTACAAGTAAACAACAATAGGCCACGGTGGAAATATAACTTTCGACACTCCCGGGGGTTCCAATTATTTAAATCATCATCCCACCACGCCGGTATTGGCGAACTTTTTTCATTATGAAAAGGATGTACTCGTAACATGATGAATATTTTATCACTTATATCAACTAACGGTAATGACTCGATTGATTTTTTTGATATTTTAGCTCCAATAACGGCAGATGTCAGTAGTAAATTTTTTACTTCTGGAAAATTGCTATTTTTGTCCATAAGGCCAAACAGATTACCATTGCGAAAAAGTGCAAAAATTAATCTAATAGATTTGTCAGATTTATCGAACAAAGAAGTTGTAGGAATCTGAATAGCAGCATCGATATAGCTCTCGAACATTGGAAACGTGTCATTAGAAGTGCTACATTCAAAGTTGCGATGTTCTAAATTATTTATGCTATTTAGCCATGTGCACGATATACCACTAAATGAATCAACATGAATGTTGAAAAAGTCCACGAAAATATTTCTGGAAATAGACCAAGGGTCATAAGCGATGTCTTGATCTGCGCGTGGTAAAGACTGAACATACGATGATGCTGTTTCTATTATATTCAAAAAACTAAGACTTGTTGTAAACTTAGTTTGTGCTTCGTCAAACAGCTCTTTTGGCAACAATAAAAGGTTTGATACCATACTTAGTAATAAGTATGAAATATCTTGTTTATACGATATGTAGTTCAAATATTTCTTTAAAGTGCGTGCTATGAATTCCAAATCCATAGGATCCTTAATATTATTTAAATATATTTGAGTATTTGTGAAATTCTGTAACCGTTCAGCAATTTCGAATGCATTATTTTTTGTAAAATTCATTTTTGCAAAGTGCTCCAAAATTCTTGTAGTTTCACTTACAAAAGGACAAGAACTTGTTTCTAAGTTTTCCCATTCTCCTATTGTATTACAATTGTATGTGACTATGAGCTTGTCATTTTCGGCACACCCCTGACTAACAGTTTCTCCACGTATAGCTTGGGGCCAGTGATAAGTTCCCTTATTTGTTCGAACTATTGTGGCTTTACAGTATGTAGTGTCTTTTGCTATTACAACTACTGTAATTGCTTTAGATAAATTCGCCTGTTGTGAATTTAATGTGCAATCCCACATTCCAGAATGATTTTTAGAGATTTGTTCAATTTTGAGAATAGAATTGAGTATACCAGAGTCAAAGATGTGCCTTGTTGAGATATTAACATCGGTGAAAACTTTCTCTGGGTCATTGTAAATTATATCTTCAGTGGAGTTGGAGTGACGAACCTTTTCAGACCAACCCCAAAATATATGGGCTCGTGTTGCGGGAATGTCTTCTGATTCTCGAGCTATTTCTATGGCAACACGGGGAGCTCGACATTTTAGTACTAGTTCATCTCCTTCGAAAACAATCTTAAATACAAAGAAGTTTATTTAATTGAAAGTATTTTTGATTTAACTATTGAGATAAAAAACGCAAATTTCAGTGTAAATATTCAAAATGGGTTAACCATATTATAACTTTGTTAAATATTTATATTACTATATGTGGGCAACTCTTGGAGATCATAACTAAATTTAACTCTGCCCTGTAAAATAATGCAAAAGATTTTTTATATTTATTCACATTTTACCTGATTTCTCAATGGTATTAGTTCCAGAAATGTTTGTATAGGTGATTCGCAATGCAAATCTACGCCAACCTTCAGTTTTTTCAAGAATGAATCTTTAAAATATACAGGCGATTCGCACTTAGGTGAAGGCTGCATTTTTACAACGCGGTCAATAGTCCACGCTAAGAGCCAAACTAAATCACAGTTGCATACTAGAGGATTATTTGAAATATCGCTGAAAAGTATAATATATTTAAACATATACATATACCTAGGTGGAAACATCGTTCAGGTTCGATACTTACAGGTATTTCAAATTAGGCATAAATTCAAAAGAACCGGAAAATATATGTCTAATAGCATTTTTACTTAATTTTAAACGTTCCAAATTAAATAGTGATCCTCCAAATGTATCCTTGTCAATTTTTCTCAGCAAATTTGAAGACAAATCTAACCGTTTCAGCTGTGTTAAAATATTAAACTCTTCACTTTGAATGCTTGTAAATGCATTATTGCTCAAGTCACTACAAAATATATAAGAAATCATTAATATTTTTATTCTAGTAAATATATCAATTTTCATACAGCGAAATTATATGTTGTCCAATTTCAGAAAAGTCTAGGTTTTGCCAATTGGAGATAGGTGCCTCTGTTATACCACCGCACTTAACTCGTACATTGGAGCTATTATCTGAAACTGTTTTGCACTGACAACTAACCGGGCAAGAATTTACAACGTTTGCCAAAAATTTGTGTATTGCCCATACAATAAACCAAATGTAAATACTTTGCACCCGCATTTTGCTTTAATATTAAAATTTTTATAAATCCATTCCAAAATAAAAAATAAAAAAACGTAATATTGGTTTTACTACGTTGGTAGGACTCTCTTTGGACCGTTGTATTTTATATATTTTAAACGCAAATTCCTACAATGTTCAATGTACATTTATTTTGCATCTATACGATTTATAACAAAATAACTTTAAATTTAAATGCTTGTTAAAGAAAATATTTCCAAAAATATCTTTTAAGCGAAAAGCCAATAATTTAAATATCAACAATACGCTCTCGGAGTGAACCGTTCCGTTTCCAAATCATTTTCGTGTTATTTTAAACGTTACCACACTAATAAAAAAAGTAATACCATCAATTTATGACAATTACACATTTCTTAATATTATAATAACAGAAAAATATTTCAATTTATCAAATTTAGATATTCATGAATACAAAAACTTGCAAGTGGAAAAAAAATTTGAAGACTTGTTGCAAACTTAGTTTCGTCAAACAGCCCTTTTAGAAACAATAAAAGGTTTCGTACAATACTTAGTAATAAGTATGAAATATTATATTTTGTATATACGATATGTAGTTCAAATATTTCTTCAAATTGCGTGAAATGAAATCCAAGTCTATAGGATTCTTAATATTATTCAAATATATTTGAGTATGTATGAAATTTCGTAACCGTTCAGCCATTTCGAATGCATTAGCAACACGGGGAGCTCGACATTTTAGTACTAGCTCATTTCCTTCAAAAACAATCTAAAATACAAAGAAGTACTGAATAATAACAGAAAATTATTTTTATATTATTTATAAATTGTGAGCAAGACATGAAGTACCCTGCAAGCTAACCTATCAGTTAGGTCATTGCCCTGCAATCGAACAATCAGTTAAGTCACTGATTAATTACCCAAGAGTGCTACCAGAGATTTCTGTTAAAGTTTTTATGGGTTTCTTAAGGCCAATTGACAAAACTAAACGAAAGCTGGATCTACTATATAGGGCTGTCAGATTGTGCAACACACACAGTTCTAGTTAAAGTGTTGTCGTGTTAGGAGCAATTGAGACATAAGCAAGAAGTTGTAAGCTCGAATAATAAGCAATAAGTGTTAAGTTAATGGAATTAAAAATCCAGATAAGGGTATAGTCATTAAATTAGTACTTTTATTTAAAACTTAAAGAACCTGCTATATTATTTAGCACTCCTGAATTTAGAGTATAAAATTATAAAATTGCAACATATTGTAACGGATTTCTTGATAATCGATGATCGTCTAACTATAACTCACTCTTGAGCTCGATCACTGGATTGTTAAATTAAAGTCCCAATTTAATGGCTATACACTTATCTTTATTCCAACAACTTAACACTTATTGCTCGATATTCGAGTTTGCAACTTATTGCTTATAGTTTAATTGCTTTTTACACGGCAACACTCTAATTAGAACTGTGTCTGCTGTACAGTCCGGCAGCCCTTATATAGTAAATTTTTAACAAAAGTTCGCTAGTAGAACCAGAGAACGTATATAGCGGCCTTTACACGGTCATTTTTGTATGAAAACATGGTATGATGCAAAAAAACTGGTTTTCGTTTAAACGGTCGAACATGCAATCATACTTTATTTCTCTGTTATTTGTGAACGAAGCAACATCAAGGATGAAATGACAAGGATGACATGAAGCGAGACTCTCTCATTTTCGCTGATTTTTCTGTTATTATCTTTCCCTGATTATTAAAATCAGGGAAATTCGAACAGCTGATGTCAAAAAAGGCGGGATGCCAGAAATAAACCCGCTAAAAATAGCTAACAAAAGCAGTGCGAAAGGAAATTTCAGGGAACGACACAAATATTTTTGAACAACGTGCAACTAAATTTTATTTGCTAATTTAATTTAAAACGTTCATCTTAAAACCATGATATTTTATTATGACTTGTATTGTTTCTTTGTTTAATTTTTTTTTATTTATATGTTGTTTATTATATTATATGATTTTTTTAAAAATTTATAATCCAGCCATCCAGAACGCTTAGATAAATTTCAAAGAAGTCCTTCAACAGTTCTTCGTTTATCCGTGACGTCATTACGCTTCAATGTTTGTTTACGACTGAAAAAATATACTGCGTGCATGATGCAAGCGTTTACACCATAAAACATGTTCATAACAACATCATGTTTTTAAATTTTTTAAAAACCATCGCACATGTATGACAAACACGAATTTATTATGTTTACACGCTCATTCTTCTCATCACGCCGCACATGCTTCCAAACATGAATGACCGTGTAAAGGCCGCTTATCATAGAGAAGGTTCAATTTTAGACTAGCGTGTGAATTGTCAAAACCTAATTTAATTGTCAAAATCATAATTTATCACTTTTCAATACTATATGCAGAGAATGTTAATAAATATATAAATATTCATATATTAACTTTCTCTGCTATATGTGCGCACATTGATTTATATGTCAACATATATGTAATATTTATTGAAAAGTTTATATTTTAATGTTTGTTTATAAACTTAAGACTTAAAATTGTAAATTATTTGTTTAAGTTTATCAGTGGGAAAATTCAACTCTACGACTGCTCCGCGACGCTTCACTTTTTCTTCTTTCTTCTTGATTACCCTTTTCAACTTCTTCTTGCTCGACCACTCACGCCAACTTCTTTTTGCTCGATCACTCTTAGTGCCGTTTCAGACAGGGATGCAAAAGAGTCTGATGTTTTTCAAATTTTCTTTTGGTGTCGCGGTCAAAAAGAGTCCAGCAACTCGAGTCTAGTTTTTCTGCATTCCTTTTCACAAAATGTTCGTAAATATTTGTGCGGTTCGACTGCGCAACACCGCGTAACACTGCGTGCTGCGTATTTCATTTGTATGTTGAGATGATGGTCACACATTTTGCTTGCAATGAATTAATGGTAGAACAATATGCATAGTACAAGTACCTACCCGCTAAATAGTTTCAAAAAAATACTAAAGACGGGAATTCCCTAATCCACAAGAATGTATTGAATATCCGCAACTAATATTTTCAAGGCCAAATTTATAATAGCAATTTCCTAATCTTTAAGTATTAAAAACTCATAATTTCTTTACTCCGTATTAAAAATTCATAATTTCTTTACTCCATAATCTATATCTTAATTTTCTCCTTATTTACAATTTGTCATAATATTTCTATTATTCTATGCATACGTATTTGCATATTACATACAAAAATAGATAACAGAACTCAAATTTGCGATCGAATTTATTTGAAACCGAGCGCTCTTGCAACCATTCAAAGAATTTGAAAGTGAAAAGGAATGCTGAAAAAGGTAGCAGCGAGCTGTTACGAACAAGAACACAAAGCGTGCCACCCGAACACGAGTGGCACGGTCCCTTCGTCTTTCCTCGTCATCCCCTCACCCACAATAAACTGGTATGAGACTCTTTTGCGTCCCAATGTGAAACGGCACTTACCAATTGTCCTGCAGTTGCCTGCAGCGTTGCCACCTGTACCATCACTGTTTACACTCGGCCATCCTGCTCAACATTGTTTGTCCCAGACGATAAGTCATCTTCATTGTTTTCAGCATAATTCCATAGCTTCATATTATCAGCACTCGTATGCGTTTTATTGGGGCCTTCTCTTTGGACAGCTTTTCGAACTTCATATCTGCCATTGCGTTTTGCTTTTGTTACTTCATATGGTCCCAGAAAAGCGCTTGCCAACTTCTTTCCAGCTACAAACTGAGTACGCTTTACTGCAACCAGATCACCTTCTTTGTATTATATATGACTTCTCCTTTGCGTTTTTTATACATATCTTGATCCTTTTGTATTTGCTCCTTGGCCGTCTGTCTCACTATTTGCCTCTCTTTGTCAAATTCTTCAAACATTTCATTCTCCAAAAGTTTCAGTAGTCTGCCGCTGGATTTATAATACATTTTTACTCCAAACATTATCTCGAAAGGTGATTTCTTTGTAGAGCAACTTATATGGGAATTAATAGCTCTTTGCACCAGTGAAGTGAACTTATACCACTTTGAAGAATCTTCGGCCGACAATTTAGAAATGATGGATAAGATAGACCTATTTATTCTCTCTACCTGCCCATTTCCTCTGGCAATACCAGTTGTTGTTAAGACATGTTCGATTCCATTTGTTTTGGCGTAATCTTGAAATGCACCTGAGGTAAACGCAACTCCTCTGTCTGTTATTATTCTGCTCGGAATCCCAAAGACATTTGACTATTCTTCCATTTTTTTCAAAACTTCGTCAGCTCCTGTTGACTTTGTTGTATAAATCCAAACAAATTTTGAAAATCCGTCAACAAGTGCGAATATGTACTTATACTGTTTCAAAGAAGAGTCCATCGGTCCCAAGTGATCAGCATGCAAAGTATGTAACGGCTTGTCACCTTTCTCAATGCAGCATAAAAGTCCATCCTGTTTTCCCAATATTGTTGGCAATAATACACGGAATACCCGCGCTGATAAGTCTTGTGACCTTGCTCTCTAGATGTGGAATCCAAAATTGCTGTTGTATAGAATGTATGGTCTTCTGACTTACATAATGTCCGACTCCATGAGCTTCGCTTATAATTTCACGTTCCATTATTTTAGGTACAACAATCAAATCGTTTCCTTGGACAAACTTGAACAAAATTCTCCCTTTCACTTTAAAGTCGTTGTAGGGTCGTTCTTCCAATATCGTGCGTATGGCCTGAATATATTCGTCTTTTTGTTGTGCAGCCTTTACCCAACAAGATATTTCTGACGATACGACGAAAATCTCGTTGGTATAACGGCTGAGACAATCTACGTGACGCATTCTTTCACCCGCCCGATGCTCCGTCTTGAAGTCGAAGTCTGCCATGTACAAAATCCATTCTGCTACCTCTCGTGGAACGTCTTTCTTCTGAATGGTTTGTGTGAGCGCTATATTGTCAGTAACCAACTTAAACGGTACACGAAGCAAATAATGACGAAATTTCTTCATGGCTAGATAAGCAGCCTTTACTTCCAAAATATAACTGTTTCGTCCTGATTCACTTGGGCTCGTCTTTTTGCTCCAATAAAATAAATCCTTAAAACGGGGTCTTTACACAATGCACTCTTCAGATTCTCAATAGCTGCATGTTATTTAGACTCCAATTTGAAAATGACATCCTTTTTTAACAGATTGGTCAAAGGTCGCGCAATAATGGCATAGTTTTTCACAAACTTCCTAAAGAGTCCCCTTAGACCCAAAAAAGATTGACCAGCTTTCACATTCTTAGGTACTGCAAACTGCTTTACGGCAATTGTTTTTTCTTTGCTAGGCCAAATCTTTCCATCGTGTACAGCATGTTTTAGGAAGTGGATTTTATTAACAAAGAAATGACATTTCTTCCACTTTATACGTAAGAAGAACTTAGCTGATTCAGATAACACCAACTTGAGTTTCTCAATACATTCTTTGTTAGTCTGGCCATATATTATAATATCATCTATTTAAAGCTGTAGAATGTTCCGTGATACAAACTCCTGAAATATGTGGTTTATGAATCTTATAAACGCCGCAGGTGAATTGCAGAATCCGAATGGCGTTCTAGTGAACTCATATAAGCCTTCTTTGGTGATGAACGCAGTATATTTTCGACTTGATTCTTCTACTGGGACGTGAAAATAACTGTTCTCTAAGTCCAATGACACAAACACCTTGGCGGATT